GGGGTCGCAGCTGCCTTCTGGAAGGCACCGACATGTACCTTTTTGCGCAAAAGGGCACAATCAAGGTTTTGTAACGCGAGCTGTGCCACAGTGAAATATGGAAGTTGGAACTAGCGCCAGCCGCTCTCGAACGTCGAAGTCCTCGTCTCTCCCTCAACCCTCTCTCTCGGACGTCGGAGAGCAGGGCTCGGCGACTGTGTTTTTGGCGGATAGAGCATCTCTGTAATTTATGGTTTATGCAATTGCGAGCGAAAGAGTCGAGAAAATGATAATATTGCACGTCGCCGTCGCCCGTCGGCCCGTCACGGCCGGACTGCTGACATGATAGAGAGAACTCCGAGAACCTCTCGGCGTTATTGGAGATACGGTACGCGGCACCATCGCGCCCGCCACATCGCGCCCCTCGGGCTCACCCGACCTCGTGCCGCACGAGCTTGATGCGGAAGACGAGGTCCGAGCACGGCGGCACCCCGGGCCCGCTGCCGCGCTTGCCGTACCCGAGCTGCCACGGCACCTGCAGAAAAAGAGCTCGCGTTCGCCGAGCTGCCACGGCACCGGAAGGGGGAGCGCATACACCGCACTGCCGCAAGTCTCTGAGGAGGTGTGCTCAGAGCGGTCTAGCAGCCGCCGCGACGCCTGCGCTCGACTCCTCTCCCCTTGGTTGGCGTCGCTCGGCTCCTCTTGGCTGCTCTCGGCTGCTCTCGGCTCCTCTCGGCCCCTCCCGCGCCTGCACGCGCCTCTGCCCGCCGAGCCGCATCCCGACCACTCCGGCGTCCATTCCCTGGCGCCGCGGCGGTGAGGGACAGCTCAAGACGACAGAAGCGCAAGACAGGCCGTGAGATATGGGGGGAGATGGGGAGATGTGGCGGAGATGTGGGGAGATGTGGGGAGACGCTGCCGCCGGTGCCGCCTGGCGCTGTTGGCCCCTTTGCCGGCCGCCACTCCGGTCCGCGCACTGTGTCTAGCCCTACTCGGCGCATGTCCTTGATCACGTCGCCGCCACCGACCGTGAAGCAAAACTTCTTGCCCGCCTCGACCTTCTCGCCCGTCGCGAGGAGCGACAGCGTGTAGTCGATCGCGACCGCGTCTCCCTTCGCCACGGGCGACCCGCCAGCGTCTCCCGGCGAGAGCTCCTCGGTGGCCACCGCCGGACCGGCCGCCGCCTCTGGGATTGGCTCGCCGCCGACCCAGAACTTTGCGGCCGACTCGGCACTCGTCTGCAGCGCCCCCGCCGTGACGCCCGCCTTGATCGCCTTGCGCACCTTGGCGCCGTCCGTGTAGCCGCCCTCCGCAACCGCCTTGACGATCGCCGGAGCGGAGGAAGCTCCGCCGCGAGCGCGCAGCGCGTGGACGACACGCTGGAGGATGGTCGCCGACTTTGGCAGAGGCTTCTGCGCCGCCCCGGCGGGCTGTTTGGAGAACGGTTCGGAGGACGGGCCGGCATCAGCATCGCGAGCGCGCTTCTTGTTGGTGGCGCACATCAGTCCCGGGGTTCGGCGCTGGTCGGTAGGTGTTCACACGAAATTCTTTTTCTAAAAAAAAGCGCCGCTCGGCGCAGGTCGTGGTGGCACGCAGCTCCTGCGCTTTGCCTGCGAGCGCCGCGACGCCGAGTCGCGCAACAGGCGTGGCGCGGTCGTGCTGTACGCTGTGCGCTACCTGTCCGCCGCACGCGCAGGCTCCTCGTCCGACGAGGACGCGGCGAGCGACGCGTGCTCGCACCACCTCGACGCGAAGGATGCCCGCCACGGCGTGTTAGCGCAGTTCGTCCTCGAGGCGCTCGGCGCCGCCACGCTGTGGCCTGTGCGCGGGCACGGGCGTCGTCGACGTGGCAGCCGGCGCCGGGCAGCTGTCGGCCGAGCTGTGCGAGCGGAGCCCCGCGGCGCAGCAACCGCACTGCACGCTCGTGGAGCCGAGCGTGCGTCAGGGGCAGATCGCGCCGCCGGGGAGCGCGCTCCTCGCCGAGTGCTTCGACGCCGAGTTTGCGGTTCGCCACGCCGCGCTGCTGCGCGACTGCTCGGTGCTCGTCGGGATGCATCCCGACCAGGCGTCCGAGGCGATCGTCGACGTCGCGATCGCGCTGGGGAAGCCGTTCGCATTGGTGCGGGAGGTATCTCCCCATATCTCCCCGTATCTCCGTGCCAGGTGCCATGCTGCGTGTACCCAAGCCTGTTCCCGCAGGCGTGCTGCATGCCCGCACCGTTGTCAGATGATCAAGTCGGTCAAGGCGACGGGTGCGGCGAGCCACGGCTCGCTCTCGACGACGCGGCATCTCACCAGCTCCGCGCGAGAAAAGGCGCGAAAGGCGCCGAACTCCAGGGGCTTGGATGCGAAGTTGGGTCGCACCAGACGCAGCAGCTCTTCGGTATGAAGTGAGGGGGGGGCATCTAGGAGGCAAAGGTTTGCTGGGTCTGGCTGGGTCGGGTGCCGTCCATCAGCTGCCCCGCCGCCCGAACTTAGCGTCAGCAAAACAGCCTCCGCAGCCCTGCCGGTTGAACGGTCTGCGATCGACGCGATCTCATGCGCCGAAGTCGGTGGGCACGGGCCACGGCGATTTGTTTTGCGACCCCTCCCGACCCCTACTCTCATTAGAACGCGGGGGGCACGGCCCGCGTCCCGATTTCCCGGCCGTGGGGGAGGAGCGCAGCGACGGGGTGCCGGGATTAGAAATCGGAACACATGATTCGCGCACATGATTTGTCATTTCACACCCCTCGAACGTCGAAGAGAGGAGAGATAGAGAGAGATAGAGACAAAATCACACACACTCTCACACACACACACCATGTGCCCTGACACAGGCCGATGTGTTCAGTTTGCATTCATGCGGTCGGGACTTGCATTTCACATGAGTAGACATCCTCCACCACTTTGGGCATCTTCATAAAGAGCCGGTGACAAAGGAGCATGATGTGTCGCCAGCGTAGTGATGATCCTGTCGAACTGCTGCCCACTTTGGCCGCCGCCACCTTTTGAAACATTGTTGGCGACTATTCTGAGTCGAGGGTTCGCCTGCAGCTTCTCTTGCACCTTTGCAGTGTGGGCCCGCATGTCCAGTGGCTGCAAATGGTAATTGGTTGCTGCTGCTTGAGTAAGCACTGTCTCAACTATCGGCGTGTCAGTGTCTTCGTGGTTTGAGCAGCCATCGAATGGCAGTTGATAGTACTCCATCTCGCGCTTCAGCTCAGTGGCAGCCTTCGTGGACGATGGCACGTCAAGGGTTCCAGTACGTAGGAAGTTGAGGATGGTGCCAAACTGCTTGCCGTCTCGGTCGATGAAGACATAGCCTTCATCATCCGGGGGCACCTCATGCCTGCCGGAGAACATGGCCCCGAGCATGGATTCCGGGTACCTGGTCAACGTGGTCAAGGTCGTCTCAAACTTGCTCCCTCCAACGTTGAGCTTGACACGTTGCTTGAACTGGGCGAGGTTCTCCTCAACGGTGGCCTTCATGCTCTGCAGCTCCGCGCGCTCCCGCTGCACGCTCTCCTGCTGCGTGCGCAGCCCGTCCACGGCGCGCTGGAGCGCATCGAGGTCGAGCGCCGGACTTGCCATGCACGCGCGCCGCGCGCGCCGCGCACGCGGCCACACACCGGCTTATTCACAGCCTGCTTTATACACATTTTGGCACTTAACAGGATGTGTCTTGTGAGCTTGTTTGTGTCTGTGTGTCGCTCGTGCGTGTCGTCATCATCTGTCTAGCGTCCACCCATACCGCGTTGGTGTCAGTCCGAGCCTGGCTGTTCTTCACCTTTCTACCTATCTCTCTCCTACCTCACAGGAGCAACTACATGGGTGCGAGGGGGTCGCGCAACACTCCCCCCCCCCTCGGAGAGACGAGAGAGAAGCGTCAACACACACACACACACTGGACCCGACACAGATCACACATCATAACACAAACGTGATCGGCCTGCGCGCGCATACAGACCCATACAACTGGCACCAACCGTCGATATTTACGAGCAGGCCTGGGCGCGCCGCGTGCTAGCACTATCACAGGCAGAGTTTGTTGCAGAGGCAGAGTTTGTTGTAGAGATTTCACGTTGTAGAGCGCCTCTACACTGCTCTCTCTACAACGGAGGCGCTTGTCCCGCAGACGGATGTAGATAGAGCTCTACAGCTCTACAGCGCTCTACAGCGCTCTCCAGCGCTCTACATCTCTACAGCTCTACAGCGCTCTACACTCTACATCCTCTACACCCTCCCTCAGCATCAGCCGCACTTTAACACGGAAAGCGCGGCCCCTATCGCAAGGCTCGACGCTGAGTAGTGCATCGTGTTGCTTGTGCAATCATTTGCAGCGATGTCGCGGGCAAGCTGAATCCTCTCCGGAAGCGCGCATTGGCCGTCGTCAGAAAAGAAGCCGGACGCGGGCCACTCCCTTTCCCACTCTGCTACTGGTCCTTCCCCAGGCGAGGGCTGCCATCCGGGTATGCGAAGGCGTATTTCCCGCTCGGTTTGCTGTGCTCTCTTCGCTGTGTAGTAAAATTGGCGGACGAGTGCCGCCCTAGCGTCCTTGAAGATGGAATCGACTCGGGCGTCCGGCGTCGCGTCGAGAGAGAGATTTTTAGCAATACCAAACAAATCTAACACTCACACGTTGTTGTCGCGTCGTGCAAGGTTCGCGTTGTAGAAGTGCCGCCGCCGCACGATGCCCGCCAGCGTCTCCAGCACCATCACGCGTGTCGGCGTTGCCCCAATGCGCCCCTCTGCCATCTGTCCTCTGCTCGTAGTAAGCCGAAACCCGGTTTGCAGAGTCGGCGGTGTTCGTGAGGGTGCGTAAAATTCTTCCTTCCAACTGCCGCGAACCCATGCCTGCCCGATGCTCGACGAGTCGCTCTCGCTCACCGCGTCGCTCGCCGAAATAGACGCTCTCAGCGTGTCCTCAAGTGCGCATGGCATCGCAGACGCGGCTCGCTCCGTGCTTGATCGAGTGCCGGCGACGGAGGTGAGCCCGTGTGTGCTGAGCGTGCAAATACGGCCACCTCGTGCAAATCTTCACCTCGCGCCTCTCTCTGACTCTAGGTCCTCGACGTGGCCACCTCTTTGCTATGCTGGCCGCACTGGGCTAGCGACGAGTCGCGCGTGCAGCGCGTCCGCCTCGTCTCGTACTTGGCGGCCTTGCACGGGCCGCTGCCCGGCATTTCTGCTGCGCTGAGCCGGAGATTCGGCGAGCAGCCACCGCGCTCGCGGGTGGCAATCGAGCTGCTCGACGCGGTCTCCAACCTGGGCAGGCTGGACGGGGAGGCCTCGGCGGCGGCGGCGAGCGCGACTCTCGTTCGTGAGGGCGCGGCGTGTTTGGCCGAGGCGGCGGCGCCGGCTATGGCAGAGGCGTCGGCGCCATCTCGCGGGCTTGACGCAGCGGCGACGGTGGAGGCGGCGACGGTGGAGGCGGCGATGGCGACGGCGGCATTGGAGGAGGAGGCGGCGATTGCGGCGGCGGCGGCGGCGGCGGCTTCGGCGGCGGCGGAGGCGGCGATTGCGGCGGCGGCGGAGGCGGCGGAAGCGGCGGCTGAGGCGGCGGCGGAGGAGACGGCGGCGGCAGCGGCGGAGGCGGCGGTGGAGCGCCTCGACGATCTGGCGAGGACACAGAGAGTCCGCTGCACTCTATGCCACGAGCTGCCTCGCACCGGGGCCGCGGGGTCGAGTGCGGCGTCTGGCAACAACGGAAAGACATAGCCGAGATACGCAAGCCTTCTGCAGCCTCGACAACAACGTTCAGTAGCAGGGCGGTGGCACGGCGGTGGCAGGCAATCGACTTCGTTTCGCGTGTTTCTTCTTTCAGGCGGTGGCGCGGCGGTGGCAGGCGGTGGCATGGCGAGTGTGAGCTCGATGTCGCTCTCGATGTCGCTCTCGTCGCTCTCCTCCTCCTCCGCCCTCTCCCGCTCCCTCTCCACCGCCCCCTCACCGCCCGCGACGCCCGACAAGGCGAGATTCGCCGAGATTCGCCGAGATTCGCCGCCCGTGCCTCCACCGCCGCGAGATCGCAATCTCGCCTCCTCGGTCTGGCGGCCAGCAGCTGCCACTGGATGGCCGTCACACCCCGGGCAGCCGCCCGGCTACCAAACCCCCCTGAAACCTCGAATCCAGGCGCCGCTCCGGTGGTGCGAGGCTGAGCTTGGCAGCGACTTTGAAGAGTTCCGCCGCCTCTCGGCCGAGCTCCCTAGAAGCGGAATACGCATTCTTGTACTCCAACCAGCGATCGAGAGGACACGGAATCCGCTGCACTCGGCGGCGTGGGCGCCCTGCCAGGAGGGTACGGCGGCGGCGAGGGGGGAGGAGTTGGCGCCATGCCGGGCGGGTAGGGCGGCGGCGAAGGTGGTGGCGTCGGTGCCTTGCCGGGCGGGTAGGGCGGCGGGGAAGGTGGCGGCGTCGGAGCCCTTCCCGGTGGAAAGCAGCCGTATTCGGCTGGACTCACTGTCTCCGCACCCCTCGTCTTCATGCGGTGCTCTGAGTACACCGCACAACGCCGTACTCCGCTCTCATGTTGGTGTATTCAGCACGCAGGCGGAGCTCCGATGCGGTGGCGGCGGGGAGGAAGCCGGCGAGGGCGGCGGCGAGGGCGGCGGCGGAGGCGAGGGCGGCGAGGGCGAGGGCGGCGAGGGCGAGGGCGAAGGCGAGGGCGAGGGTGAGGGCGGCGCTGAGGGCGGCGGCGGCGGCGACGGCGAGGACGGCGGCGAGGGCGGCGGCGAGGGCGGCGGCGGCGGCGGAAGCGCGGGCGGGTCTCGGCTCTCCACGGCAACGGATGGCGCCTTTTTCCTTTATGCGGGGGTTACGCCTTTTCCTTTATGCGGGGCTACGACGCCTCCGCCTCACCCGGCGCCTCGCCCCGCGCCTTTTCCTTTATGCGGGACTACGACGCTTCACCCGATGACTCTCGGGCGAGCTCGGCCCAGTCTCTGAGGGGACCACCCGGGCCGCTGCGATCCGAAGCGCACCTC